CTGCCTGGCATTGCCAGCTGGTGGGGGGCTGCGCCGCGGTGCTGACAGGTCCCTGCCTTGCAGTGCTCACGTGGGAGGGCGAGATCTCGGCCGTGAGCCGGGACGCCATTCGGGACGCGGGCTGGGCCCAGCGCGCCAGAGTCACCGACGACTGGGACGAGGACTTCGACAGTGGCAAGGTGAGGGGCTGCCTCTGGCCACGGCCTCCTGTGGGGAAAGTCCGATGCCACCCAGCTGCTTGGTGGAGCGCCCACAGCTGGCAGCATGTCTGTGCTGGTGGTGCACAGCCGCACATGCCTGGATGCGCAAAATGTATTCCACACGGGCATGGAAAAAATGAGGGAACCTTGGTTCCAGCACTAGGGTGCCGGGGGGGCCCAGTCTTGAGGGAGGGGCCCATGGGGCTTGGTTGGGGGAGCTGTTCCCTGCCATCCTGGTGCGCTACCCTGGGGGGAGGGGTGTGCTTCCCTCTGCGTTCACGTCGGCTCTGCTCCGTCAGGCGAAGAAGAGTAAAAAGTTCAAGCGGGAGCGGCGGAGACACTTCAACGCCTTCCAGAAACTGCAGAACAGGCGCAACTTCTGGTCTGTGACTCACCCAGCCAAGGGGGCCAGCCTGAGCCACCGGCTCTGAGCCCAGCCGGGAGCGTGGTGGACCCCGCCGCCTTGCTGTGGGGCGGCCCTCGGTGCTGCTGGCGTCCAGCCACTGGGCCCCCTGGAACTGGAAGCCGGTGCTTGGGCGCTGGGGAAGGGTGAGCCCAGGCTGGTGCTGCTGGCGTGTAGCCGCCCCGGCCAAGTCCCCACGCCCTGCCCGGCTGCGGCCAGGGACTGTCCCGCCCGTTGGAGTTTCGCCGGCTGGTGGCTGGGGCAGGGCCCCTGGGGCGTGTTCCGTGGCCAAGGCTGGGTGCAGAGCAGCACGGCCACAGGAGGGCTCCTCCACGGGGCCTGGCCAGCAGCCCTGCTCTTACCTGCCTCGGGCCTGCGCTGCTGCCACACGAGCCTGGCCCCGGGGCAGGCCGGGCTGGCTGCCTCGCTCGCAGTGCTCAGAGTGAACAGCAGCTTTTCTCTTCGTACCTCCCCGGGAGTCGCTTCTGCCTGTGGCCCTGGGCAGGGGGTGATGGGCCTGTACCGGCCTCCTCCAGCTCAGCCAGCTGCTTGCTGGAGCAGCTCACCCTGCCCTGGGCTGGCTGCCCCCACTTCCCTGTGGGGCCAGAGTGGGCAGAGCAGGGGCTGCGCGTGCTGTAGCGGGGCCCAGCCGCGTGGCTCCCCCTCTCCTCCCCCTCCCC